GGTATGCATCTCTTCATTTTACTCTCCATCCCATCCCAGAGATTCCCCAACTTTGCTTCTCAAGTTTCCTTAATCCACCACCCATGGATTTTATTTAACCCCCTTTAAATATCTTCCTTTGATTTTAATGTACAAAATAAACTAAAAAAAAAATCTTGCTATTCTCCATAGTATTTTTCTCCATACACTGAAATTTTGCTTCCCAGAAATTGTCATCAGTTTGGCTGAAATAGACTCATGAAAATTCTCTACAGCTTTGGACATTTCTTATGTCAGCCATAACCAAGTGAGGAAAAATGCTCTTGTTAAAAATTGTTAAAATATTGTTAAAATTTTAGAAATAGCCATAACAGCAACAACAAAAGCACATAATTGTGTGGGACTTATATTTTTAAAAAAGCAATGCTGATATACAGAAAAAGGAAATCGTGAAAGGACAAAGCTGGCACCATTTGCTGAGCAGGCCTGTACCTTGTTAAACATGACCGCCTTTTTACTCTTCTGAACTTCTGTCCCCAGGACTGGAAATTACTGGAAAGCAAGAACAGAACTAACCACCCCCTACAGCCACAGGCGGAACATAACACTGGAAGAACTGCAGCCTCTTACAATGCCCCAACCACCCAGGGGCCACACCACAGCAACTCCCCCCACCCTTTTCTAATCCAATTATAATCCAAAAAAGCTCATAGCCCCCATCCCTCAGTGCTGGTGTATCTCTTCACACCATACCCCTCTCCTTTCTCTGAGTGAATAAAAACATTTTTGATATATTTTATTGATTATGCTATTACAGTTGTTCCATTTCTCTTCCTTTATTCCCCTCTGCCCTGCACACCCCTCCCACCCACTTTAGTTCATGTCCATGGGTCATACATACAAGCTGATTCTTTGGCTTCTACATTTCCTATACTATTCTTAACCTCTCCCTACCTATTTTCTACCTACCATTTATGCTAATTATCCCCTGTACCTTTCCCTTCTCTCTCTTCTTCCCACTCACCTGTTGATAACCCTCCATGTGATCTCCATTTTTGTGATTCTGTTCCTGTTCTACTTGTTTGCTTAGTCTGCTTTTGTTTTTGTTTTAGGTGTAGTTGTTAATAATTGTGAGTTTGCTGTCATTTTACTGTTCATATTTTTTATCTTCTTTTTCTTAGATATATCCCTTTAACAATTCATATAATAAGGGTTTGGTGATGTTGAACTCCTTTAACTTGACCTTATCTGAGAAGCACTTTATCTGACCTTCTATGCTAAATAAAAGCTTTGCTGGATAGAAAAATCTTGGATGTAGGTCCTTGCCTTTCATGACGTGGAATACTTCTTTCCATCCCCTTCTTGCAAAATCAGCTGACAGTCTCATGGGAACTTCTTTGTAGGGAATTGTCTCCTTTTCACTTGCTGCTTCTAAGGTTCTCTCCTTATTTTTAATCTTGGGTAATGTAATTATGATGTGTTTTGGTGTGCTCCTCCTTGGGTCCAACTTGTTTGGAGTTTCTCTGAGTTTCCTGGACTTCCTGGAAGTCTGTTTCCTTTGCCAGATTGGGGAAGTTCTCCTTCATTATTTTTTCAAATAAGTTTTCAATTTCTTGCCCTTCCTCTTCTCCTTCTGACACCCCTAGAATTTGGATGTTGGAACGTTTAAAGATGTCCTGGAAGTTCCTAAGCCTCTCCTCATTTTTTTGAATTCTTGTTTCTTCATTCTTTTCTGGTTGAATGATTCTTTCTTCCTTCTGGTCCACTCCATTGATTTGAGTCCCAGTTTCCTTCCCATCAGTATTGGTTCCCTGTACATTTCCCTTTATTTCACTTAGCACAGCCTTCATTTTTTTCATCTAATTTTCGACCAAATTCAACCAATCCTGTGAGTCTCCTGATTAACAGTGTTTTGAACTGTGCATCTGATAGGTTGGCTATCTCTTTGTCGCTTAGTTGTATTTTTTCTGGAGCTTTCATCTGTTCTTTCATTTAGGCCTTTTTTTTGGGGGGGGGGGGGTCTCGGAGTGCCTGCAACTATAAGGGGCAGAGCCTTAGGTGTTCACCAGGGCAGGACAAGCCAAGGGGCTGTGTTGTGATGCTGTATGTGGGGGAGGTGTCTGAGAGGGAACAATGGCGCTTGCTCCACTCCCTGGGGAATAACCTCCACTTCCCACAAGCAAATTGGTCCCTTCTGGTGCTGATTCTCAGGTGGGTGGGTTTGTGTACATTTTAGGACCCTGTGTGTCTCTCCAATGAACTCTCCTATGAGGCTGGGAGAAAAACTTTATTCTCTATACTTTCTTCATTTTGTGGATTCCTTCATAGCCCAAATCACTGACCACCCTAACAAACTGGTTTAAGAACACTCCCCTCTTTTCTATAAAAAGAAGACTAAATACTGTAAGTAGATTAATACATCCAAATAATTAATATGCTTAATGTAAAAGTAATCCCCCTCCCCATAATTCCAAAGTTTAAAAAGTTATTTTACATATTGAGAAATTATTCTAAAATTTACCTGGAATAATAAAGATAGAAAAATAGGTCCGAACACTGGGGAACATTAGATTATTTTACAAATAATGATAAGAAGTTGGTATTTTTAAATAAACCAAATTATAATGTACATTGAATGTCAATAAACCAAATTATAATGTGCATTGAATGTCAACAACACAAAAACAAATTCCAGTGCATTCAACAGTTACATTGATTGAAAAATAAAAGGTTTGAAAAAAAATAAGTGACTAACTGGTTTCTCGATGGAAAACTCCTTCTAAGAATAAAAGCAGTGACAGGAAATATTAAGGAAGAACTTGGAAGGAAGGAAGGAAGGAAGGAAGGAAGGAAGGAAGGAAGATAGATTTGACTTTGGGGCAGGGAGGGAAACCTGTTCATTAATAAACATAAAAATTTATGGAAAAATTCTCACTGATAAAAGAAATGCAATATGTGTGTGTCCTTCTATACTATATAATGTTGAAGGTATTTTTAATTTACATAATAGATATTGAACTATGTGCCTCTTTCTATCTCTTTCATTGGTGGTGATTTTTATATTTTCTTCCAGTCAGCTTATGGCATTCTTCAAGGAATGGATTTTATATATGCAGATTAATCTTTCACCTTGTTCTTTATTTAGATATTATCTTTTCTTTCTATTATCAACATTTTTTTTCAATGCAAAATAAGTGCAGGTGCTGGGACAACTGGATATTCCATGTACCAACAATTTGGACCCCCTATGTCACATCATATACATCAGAATGTATTAACATTCTAAATATGAGAGGTACAGCCATAATAGTTTCAGACAGAAACCATAGCAGTCAATCTTTATGACTTTGTATTTGGCAGTGTATTCTTAGATATGAACCAAAAGTATGAGCAACAGAAAAATAAACTGAACTTTGTTGACATTAAAAACTTTGTGGATCAAAGAGCATCACTAAGAAAGTGAAAAGACAACCTGAAGAATGGAAGAGAATATTTGCAAATCATATCTCTGATATGAGTCTAGTTTACAGAGTATATAAAGATAACAACCTGATAAAAAAGGATGACACCAAAAATATGAAAAACTCAATGAAAAAAAATGAACAAATGACTTGAAAACATTTTCTCCAAAGGACATACACAAATGGCCAATAAGCACATGCAAAGATGCTCAACATTATTAGTCATTAGAGAAAGACAAATAAAAAACACAATGGGATGCCACTTTCCACTCTCTAGGATGGCCACAAATTGAAAAAAGAAAATAAAAATAACAAGCATTGGAGATATTGGAATGCTCAGACTTTGCCAGTGAGATGTGAAATGGGTCTGCGACTGTGGAAACTGGTTTGGTGGGTTGTTCTTCAAAAAGTTAAACATAGAGTGACAATATGACCCACCTATTCTCTCCTAGGTATATACCCAAAAGAATAAAAAACAAGTATTTGAGCAAATATGTATGCATCGATGTTCATGGTGGGATTACTCACAAGTAGGCAAAAGGCAGAAACAAACCAAATGTTCACCAATGAATAAATGAATGGGTAAACCATGCTACATCTACACAGTGGATTATTATTCAGACATTAAAAGGGATAAACTTCTGAGACATAGTACAACGTGAATGAACCTTGCACACATTATGCTAAGTTAAAAAGCCAGACTCAAAATGTCAGAGATGATGATTTAATTTGTATGTAACACCCACAATAGGTAAACCTGTTGAGACAGAAAGCAGATTGCCAGGGGCTAGACAAAGGTGAGAATGGGAAGTAACTGCCCAGTGGGTACAAGTTTTTTCTTTGGAGCGATAAAATGTGGGGGAGAACCAGAAAAAGTGATGCTTTCACAACATTGTTAATGTTTTAATTGACACTGAATTCTTTATTTGAAGAAAAGTGTTACATTACAAGAGGCTCACATAGGAATTTTAATAACATTAGCGTCTCCAACTTGGTTGATGTAAAAGCTTGGTGCACAGGTTTGAAAGACCCATCAGAGGATGCTGCTCCTTTATGTCCCCTGTACCTGATGCGATGTTGGGCATATACTTGGTGATCAGTGAATGCCAATGAAAAAGATAAAATAAAAATGTGCATTAAAGCAACTTCCTAAGAAGACCAAGAACCAAAAAAATATGTGAAACTGTAGCAAACGCTAGGAGCATTTATTACTACTAAAACATTCAAGCCAAAGCAAGTATGTGCAAGATGTGAGGTACAAGGTAAAACATAATGTAATAAAAATAAGTTGCAAGTGTGATGAGTGGAAAATAAGTCTGAGGTCATAGAGGAAAACTTCACATGCTGTCCTACTGAGTTGGGACTATAAAATAAAAACTAGAGGAATCGTTGTCCCTCAATCTTAATGAAGTGGCATAAATGAGTGGCAGAAGCAGGGGCAATCATTCAGGCTGGTGAGGAATCTGCCCTCAACTTTGCCCTCTGGCTTTCATTAACCTATAGAGAGAGGTTTGGGGGCAGAAAAAGGGAAATGTTTACAGGCACAGTAAATGCATCCCCTTATGGAGAGGAAAACTTGCCACAGAACAGACTGCAGTTGGCTATGTTGTGCCTGATGAAGAAAAGGAAGGGATGGTCTGCACAGAACTTTGGCACATTTTCCAGGCAACAGTCAAAAAACTCCGTGTATGAGGCAGCTGCAGTCTCAGTGCCTTCCTCATTCACCTCCACAAAGGCCTTGTGCACAAACTTGGACAGACAGAGGTCTTCCTCAGCTGACATTGCTGAAAAGTTGGCTTTGCCCACTTGAAAAGCATCAACTATTCCCAAACGTTGAAGCACAGATTCCATGTTATAATGCTCTTCCAGTTTAAATCTTGGAAGGAAAACTTCAACTTCAGTACACATCATACAATGAGGCTTGGTCCAGGCTATGAACTTCTCAAAAGTGAGCTCTTTTTCCACCTGAAAGACCAATTAGCCATTAGGATTCATACGTCATTACATATAAGTATGCACACAGACACACTCAAGTACCCTTTCTGCTCTTGGAGATGGGTGTTGATTGTTGCACCGGACCGGAGGCACCTTTATCTGCCAGATTTGTAAGATCTTGCACTCACAGTATTACACACACGACTTCGTTGACAAGCAGGGGAGCCCCCAAACCTCTAAGAGGCACAAAGACCAGACCTGGCTGCTCCTCCCTTCACCCCTGACTTCTGAGAACCTGTTCTCTATCTTGACGATTGGCAATGCCCAGCTGACTGTGCTTTTTTTTCTTTTACACTAATTTTTGAAAACAACAAGACATTGCTGCTAAGCAAAAAGACTTGAAAGGGCCCGCAATGCAGCCCTCCAGAAGGAGGATCTGCTCAGCAGGGGCAATCCCACATGCTTTCTGGAGTAGAAACTTCACAGGGAGATAGATGTAGGGCAAGTGGAGGGATGCATGTCTTTCACACAGGCCCCTTAAGGACACGGGCAATGGTTGATTCTCTCACCCGAAGGACCCGTGCTCAAAAAGGGCAAGGTGGGTAGGAACTGCCTTTTGGGGCTGTTTCTGGCTCTGTTCCCTGAGTACTGGTTCTTACCCTCCTTACCATCCCTTGTTAGGTCAATGTGTTAAGATATTTCTCATCTACTGTTTCAGGTTCTGGGTAGAGACAACAGTTCTTATTTTTCAAAATGTAATGCTAATCACAATGATTATGACAATAATAAAGGTCTCATTTACTGAGGGCTCATAGGTACCAGAAAACATCCTGAGCTTTATTCTTGGATTACCCCCAATGTTATTCTCACAAAAACTTTATCAGAAAGAGAATATTACCCCCAGTCAGAGATGAGAAAACAGAAACTGAGGCGAGTTAAGAAATTTGGCGAGGTCACATAGGTAATAATACAGAAGTAGGTTTTGAGTAACAGTTTGATTCCAAAGCCCATGTACTGAACATCACTGCCTGGTTACCCACATCACCAATATAAGAGGCAAACAGGACAGGGGAAAGTTCTATCCTGTAAGGAAAAATGAAGATGTCAGTCACTGGGTTCATCTCACCAAGCTTAGATCCACATTATGGTCAGGCAGCAGGATGAGCATGCTTAGCTCCTCACCCTCATAGGGCAGCTCCAGCACCTGGGCCTTCACTTCTTCTATGTAGGCAAGGTTAAACATAGCCTCCTGGAACATCATCTGCACTGGCCTTTGGTCTTTCTGATGGGGATAAACACATAAGCATGGAGTGAAAAGCAGATTGTTGAAAGACACCAAGTCTCAAGAAAAAAAATGCAGCTGACCACAAAAGTGTTTTTAGCAGCTGTGGTGAAAAAAATGTTTGTGCTCTAATTAGCACTTACGAAATGGCTCCCCACTCCTTCCACCACCATGACAAGGCATCTATTGTGAGCAGGTGTGGCTAGCACCAGAAGATGTTTCATTCAGCAAGAAAAATGTGATACTCTGCATTTACCAGAAGAACTAGTCTGATATTCTCCATGTAAAATATGCTCTGCAAAAATATTTAAGAAAACAAAGGAATCACAAATTTCTCTCTATTACAAAAAGTTTTATGAAAAAGTGGAACGAAGTGCGTAGTTTCACAGCAGTGTGACTGAAACTGTGCATACGCCCTCACAGAAAGCAGCCTCTCAGCAAGTACAAAACCAAGAACTAGATGTATCTCCATGCATTTCAACTCAATTTTCCCAATTCCGATACTGTAATATAGGGAAATACTTTTAAAATTATTAAAGTATTTGCTTGACGAAGTTAAGTATTATAAATTGATTTTTAAAGCTGACATAGACTATTCCATTGTAAAAGTTAAAATTGGTTGTAAAAATCAATGCTACAAAAGTTCTCTCCTCTCGCTTTGCAACAAGAGAACTAATTATTTAAAGTACACCTTATTTAAAAATAAAAACAAGAAGGCATTACCTGTACACGTTTCCAATTCATTGAAATGGTATTTCTTAAAGGTTGAAAAATTTGGCAAACTATTTTAATGTCTGCCTAAATTGAAGATATACCTCAATATCAAGACTAAGGTCTTAGATGTTTTAATATTTGCAACTTACAAATATCTTATTAATAAGGATAAATTGTCAGCAATTCATGTCTATACTTATTTTGTTTTAAAATACCTGATTAAAATAATATTTTTACATTTGCTTTCTCTCTCCCCACAATGCATACATGTCTCACACTCCCTTAACACCCATCTTTTGCTTCTTCTCTAAACAACTTGAGCTTAAAGAAATACCTTAACTTCCCTGAAATAGCTGGCAGTAATGACTGTAGGTGAAACTAAGAGGCAGTAAAAGAGGTAATAAAATGCCAAAAAAAATTTTCATTCTTTTTTTAGTTCTTTTCTACTGAGTGTATAATTTCATTCCAAATTATGTTATTTCAAATTATTTTTATCTTTTTATTCTTTCTAATCATTTTATTTTTTCACAAAGTTAAATTTTTCCATTCACTTTTTTCATCAAACTGGGAGGATTTTTGAAAGCTTCCCCCACCTGGCTTATTTTAAAAGGCATTTCCTTTGTGCATGCTTTCTCGAAGGGTCCACTCCATCTTCCTTTGAAGTAGACAGCATTGACAACAACCAGCCTTGTCTGTTCATCAACAGCTTTTTCTGGCAACAAGTTCTGAATTTTACCTTTCCAGAAAAGTAGAGAATTCATTCAGTTGATTGTTATAAAAGCATGATGAGTAAACTGCAATATGGTTAATTGACAGGTCCTTGATTATTAGTCAAGAGCTAAACATCCTTTTGTCACATCTGCACAGTTTGGATTGTTATGTATGGAAATAAATGGCACATACAAGTGGCACTGGTGATCACCAGTACTTCAGGAACATTAACGAAGTTGATGACAGCGAAAGACTTCTATATCACTCAAGAGAAAACACTGCACCAAGTGGGAGAACAAGGCAAGTAAGAACTGAGAGATGGGCTAAAGGGGCCTTGGCTGTATCACGTGGTTAAATAAAGGGTTTCATCTAATGCTCCAAGAAGGGGTCCAGTGCTGCAAGTCCAGATACATCTGGGCACAGCAGAGGCAGCCAGAATGAATGGTTCTAATGGGAAATGGCTGGCAATGGGCAGTATGGGTGCATTGCAAAGCTTCTGGAAGCCTCTAGAATAGAGTTCACTATTTGATCCTTTAAACAAAACATGAGACATTCCTGGAAAAGTTAAGGTGGGCGAAAAAAATAAGATACTCCCTTCTTCCATTTGATACCAAATTGTACCCTCTGAAATACAAAGAAATAAGGTTCAACCTTAAACAAAGTGTGATTTCAGTCTACAGAAGTGATCAGTTCTGACACAGGGCTTGCACTTGGCCTATCATGTATGTCTAGGTTTATCAAGTCTAATTAAGGGAGGGGAAGTGGAAGACATGGCAGAAGCAATAGAATGAGTAAGATGAACATGTAGAGTGAAGGCAGTGGTAATGGAGGGTGACATAGAATCTGCAAAGAGGAGGCTCAAAGAAGATTTGACCATCAGTCTCCTTCCTACAGAGATTATGTATTCACCTAGCATAAGAAGGTTACAGCCCAAGTAAAAGTATGTTTTAGTATAAGTTATTAAATGGAAATTGGGTCTATGGATTTCTTTGAATATTTGTATCAATCAAATAAAATCCTGGGAGAATGGACAAAATTAAGTCTCTGCTGTTGAAAATCTGAGCATCTGATGGAACCTCTGTGGGTAGATTAAATTTTAAATATGCCATGCAGTCCAGCTTATGAACATTATTCTGACCATCTGAAACACTAGGAAAATCAGAGAGGAAAAAGGTAGAAGAGGAGGAGAGAGAAGAGCACACATGGGAAGAGAGGAGAGAGAAGGAGGTGGAAGAGAAGGAAGAGGTCGAGGAAGAGGAGAAGGGAAAGGGGGAAGAGGTACAAATGGGGTGGCACATGGAATGCTGACCTTCAGTCATTTCTGAGACCCAAGTATTGATATGTTTCCTGGACTTCTCTGCAGCTTTGGCAAAGGAAAGCAGTTCCAGCTCAGCCTGATAGAACTGGCGACAGAGTTCCTTAAAGGTCTTTGGAGAGACAAGTATGCAATGAGGCTATATTCCTAAATAAAATAGCAGCAAGTCTCAAAAAAATTCTGAATATTACATTCATTTTTATGAAAAACAACATACAGCTTTTAAAAGTTACCACAACTTACTCTACTAAATATACTCTACTAAATATCAGAGTTTATTAATAGGTAAGTAGTAACCCATGAATAACCAGAAAAAGGATAAATGAATTTTAGAAGTAGTCAAATTTTAAATAATTCAAGGTATAGTTATAGAATGATGATTTTTTAAAACAATGTTTACCATAAGTTTTAGTTCTTTAGGATCTCTATATTTTGAACACAACTTTTATTGTTTTGATTCAACTTACTGAAAGGAATTCACAAGCCTTTTCTGCAAAGAGCCTGTTGGCCGATCTGAGCAAGTACTGAGTGCCAGGTTTGTTCACTTCAGCAAGAAGGGACTGGAAACCCACATGAATGTCCTTCTCTGTGTTTAAAGAAAACACCTGTTGACAAAATAACTTAAAACTATCAGTATTGTTCTTTGGTCTCAAAATCCTCCACAACATTTTCCTTTAAAGGCATTGCTTTTATTTAAATTGCATATTTAATACATACTAGAGAAGCAACACAATGATGGGGTGGAGGAAAGATACAGAGGAAAAAAGAGAGGGAGGGGAGGAGGGAAGAAGAGAGAACACAAAAGTAGTGGGAGTAAAAGAGTTGACTTTTCTGCCTAAACTGAACTCTTTCGTTGGAACATGAGCAACAGAAAAAATAAATGAAAAACATGAGAGGGGCTTCAGAAAGATTTTTTTTAAAACAAAAGTCTTGCATCCTGCCCTACCCAGGTATCTCAGTGGGTTGGAGCATGGTCATGTAAACCAAAAGGTTGCGGATTTGATACCAGTCAGGGCACATGCCTAGGTTGCAAGATCAATCCCCAGCCATGTCTCTTGACCACTCTATAAAACCTCTTGGGAACAAACAGAAAGGAAATTCTCATCATTTGCAGATGTTTACTGAATATTAGTAAAACCCATCTTTCTAGCACATACAGAGTCTACATGTAATGGGTGCATGCCTTTTACCCTCTCTTGCATATTTGTTTATGTTTTTTCTAAGCTAAAAAGCAAGCTGGTACATTAATGACTTGAAATAGAACAATTATGGTTACAGAGTCTTTTATTCCAAGAATGAGATTAGGTTCTAGCAACTTAGATTTCAAATAATTCCAGTATCATATTCTAAATAAAAGCAAAGTGCTAGGACCTCCAAAGTTTAATATTTGTATTCAGGTTATTAATTAGAGATACTTTTCCCAAAAATCTCAGGAGAGGAGACCCCTCAACCTGGCCCTTGCCATCTCCTCATGAGGGATAAAGCTGGATGATGACATAGCAGAACAACCTAAAACACAAAAAGGCAGCCCCTTCCCTGAGACAAGAGGTAAGCAGATCTACCTGGGATATCTGGGCAGCAGTGTTTCCTTTCACCCCCAGAAAGACCATAGCCAGTGCTGAGGAGATGCTCAGAGGAGAAAAAAAAAACACGTTCTGAGAAGCGTTGTCTTCACATAGTATCTTTAAAAGGTGGAGGGCGAAGGTGTCATTTGCTTCAGAAAGAGCATCCATGTTGCAGGGTCTGGAGCCAGAGAATAAAGACACATGACAATTTTTGTTGTTTCCCTGACACATGACAATTTTGGAATTGTACTTCTGTTTTTTAAACCTTAAGGCTCATACATATTTCAGTTTGAAGAAAAACTGTTTACTGTGTGTCTCCATTGAAAAAATTAGTCTAAATTTTAAGGAAATTGGTTAAGTGTGGTAGTGGCAGCTGATCAAACTGGTAAGCTCAAAGCTCACTTTGCTGAAACGGCTTCCCCTCCCACTGGACCCCTTGTCCTGCTCCAGCCTCCACCTCCAGTCCCAAACTCCTTTCTCCCCGAGAGTCACCTCTGAGCCTTTGAAAACACCATCTGACTCCCCATCCTTTTTACCAGGTTAATGGCTCAACCATCACATCCTCAAGAGGCTTCTGATTCCTCCCCTAGACCAAGTTTCCCTTCACTCCCTCCACCCTCTCCCCCTGCATAACTCCCCAATCTTGACTGCAATTTCTTCTTCACTAATCTCAGTCCCATTAGGTAGAAGCTCTGGAGGCAAGGGCCCTTTGGCAACAATGAGAGCTCAGAAAAATGGAAGGCTGGCTAAACATGTGTTGAATTAATGAAAGAATTAGGATGGATAAGAAGTTCTTGGATTTGCAAGCAGAGACTAGTAATTTTAGCAGCACAGAGACGAGATGGGGACGTCCTTATGTGGACCCCAGACACAGAAGAGAGGGGAGGAAAGAAAGGGGGCAAGTGAGAAGAGGGCTGTATACAAGGGGGGGACCCAAAACACCAGGAATTTATTTATTTAAAAAATGTGTATTTATTCTTACATGTTTAAACTTCAGTCTCCTTCAAAGTACATTCCATTTAATGCAATACACCTATTGAGACATTTTTCCACCACTCAAAACAGTTTTTGAGCTCGTGGATTTTGCTTCTGCCATTTTTTGTTTTACCCCTCTTCCACATTAGCAAAGCGTTTCCCTTTGAACACATTTTTAATCCCTGGATACAAAAAAAAAGTCACTTAGGGCAAGATCAGGTGAACAAGGAGGGTGGAGTGCAGGGGTCATGGCATCTTTGGTCAAAAACTGCTGAACACAGTGCTGTGGGGGCAGGGGCATAATGAACCACCCATCATGAAAGGCAAAGCCGTTGAACAAGTCTTCAAAAAAAATTCACTAAAGCCAAAGGCAGCGTCTCACAACAAGGCCAGCTAGTACACTGATACAGATGGGCGCCTAGAACATTCACCTAGATGGTGAAGCCTGTACTATAAGGGGCCAACCCTCCAGATGTTAATTCTGCTCTTTGGGGGGTACCCCCATGGTATAGTATGACCACCCCAGGACCATTGGACAAGGGGAAGGGCCACTGCCCAGGGAAGAGGCATGGGAGGAGCAGACAAAAGACCCTCAGGAAGGGGCAGCATCTAAGGCTTGCTGGGGAACCAGGAGGCACAGGTCCTGAGGCCAGTCACAGTCAAAGCCCAACTGTGCCGTTGACCTGTCCACCCAAAAAGCCTGGATTTCTGCAAACAAGAAGGCCCCGCCGCCTCGGGGTCACTTTGCACACAGTTTTCTGGGCCTCTTTCCGGGTTTCTAGATGGTATTCTGGGGATTCTTCTCTCCAAGCCCCGCGATACCCTGCAATGACCCCACCTACCACCTTCAACGCAGACTCACTCCTCCTGTCTCCGCTCTCAGAGCCTGGACCCCGCGTCCGAAAGCAGTGACTTGGCCGCCCGGAAACTGGCGTCCCTTTCCAGGTCTCAGACTCCCACAACAGGCCTTACAGGAAGGTCCACACACCCGCCCTTTATCACAGGACCTGCGGGACCCGGAGGGGTGGGGCGAGGACAGGGGCGTGGGTGGGGCACTTGGTGGCCTGGGGCAGGGGCAGCGCAGTCCACTGCCTCCAAGGACCAAGTCCTGGGCGCCCCCTCCTGGCCTGGTATCGCCTGTGGGATCCCCGCTGGGTCGTGGCCACACTCGGATGGGCTAGAGGCGCTCACTTCTTGCCCTTGCCTGAAGCGACTGCAAAACGGGCGTCTAAAAGGGAAGCATTTTCAAACTGATGGCTTTCAAACTTTGCTTTGAAGCGTTCTCTGAGCGAGGCTAGAACCCCAGGTGCCTCTGAAGCAACCTCCCTGCTGGCTGCCAAAGTGAAGAAATCAGGTGAGGGACTGGGGGAAAGCACCAGAGAACTTGGAAGCCTGGGCTTCTCTACTTCCGGGAAGCAACAAAGGTGCAGTGACAGCCTTCTGTGTAGGGTAATAGGTCCTGTGGATCTTTATTACACTCTTGTCTTACATAGATGTGAGTCACCTGGAATAAGGTATTCACTTTGAGGTCCCACAACTCATTAGGAGTCCTGAACCCACACACAGAAGCCAGGCATCCTAACTCCTAGTACCTGAGCCACTTCCACTACTTGCACTTGAGCTGAGCTCATGTGCAAGCAGCTCTACTGTGTGCCCTCCTCATGACAGAAGCAGACAGAAGTCACACTGGCTCAGGACATGAGGTTCACAGGCAGGGTGGACTTCTGGCTGGTTGATGCAGAACAAGGCAAGCAGGGTGACTAGGGCACAAAATTTAAGCAGGGATGCACTTTCAGAGACCAGTCCCTGCACTTATGTGACCATGAAAATGAGGGTCTTTTTAAAGGTTGAAACTTAGAGGACTTCTCTTTCAAAATAACAGCTTTATTAGAAACAATGAACATTCCAAAATATTCACCCTATCGGGGTTGTCCAATCTGCGGTCTATGGGCCACATGTGGCCAGGAAGGCTATGAATGTGGCCCAACACAAAATCATAAATTTACTTAAAACTTTTTTTTTGCTCATCAGTTTTCATTAGTGTTTTTGTATTTAATGTGTGGCCCAGAGATGCCAAAAGGGTGGACACCCCTGCGAGTATAAAGTATGCATATAAGTGGCTTTTAGTCTGTTCACGAGGTGGTTCAACTATTGTCACTAACTTCAGAATATTTTCCTTTCATCACCTCAAAAAGAAACAGCGTACTTTAATAGGGTGTAAGCTTAAGGAAGTGCAGGCTGAGAGGCTCCAGGGGCCTCCACCTCCCAATCCTAGCTTGGGGGCTGGGAAAAGCAGCAGCACAGGGATTGAAGAGTTATTTTGCATATCAATAACAGCAGGGTAGCCTCCTTGCCTGCCTGGAGCCAGGAAGATGGGCATTACTTTGACTCATCATGTAACTGGGAGGCAGCTCCCCTGGTTACAGCACCTGAGTGAGAGCTGGGGGATGGTTCATTGCACAGCAAGGGGGCCACGCCTCCCGCCTCCCGGGAGTAACTATAGCAGCCAAGAGAGGCACAGAATACGGGAGTGCTAGCACTTGTAGCCAATTGTGGGAGGAGTCAGAAATGGGGTTACAGAGGAAGATCTGCACAGGGATAAACCCAGGTAGGGCAGCCATGCTGGGGCCTAACCACGCAGTTTCAGGAGTAAAGAGGGTCTCTCTTAACCATGTGGCTTAGGAAGCAGGAAAGCAAGATGTAGCTGCCATTCGGAGCTCTCTCTTAGCAATTTGAAAAAATGCAGGATTCCCTCAGGCCCACAGTGGGGATGAGGTTTTGGATGAAGAAAGGGGGTCTATCAGAACTAAGGATTTCTGTTTCTTTTCCTGAGATACGGTACCCATGACTGGCCTGGTTTAGCAAGGAAAAGCAGGACTGTGTGTGTGTTTGGGGGTGTATCTTCATTTCTAAAGGGGGTGGGATTTAACAGAGACATTCCGCCATTACTCTAAACTTGTATAACTTTGAAATAAATAGTTCCTTTCCTTTTGACCAAACTCTGGCATTGAGAGCCACAGTTCCTAACACAATGGCGGCAGGCAAAGATGGACCATAGTAAAAAAAAAGAGCCTTGGGGAGGGGGTTTGTTTCTGTAACAATACCCCTTAGCAATTATTCTCAATTTCCTCCTCCCCCCAGCCCCTGGCAACCACTAATCCATTTTCTGTCTCTTTGGGTTTGCCTAATATGGGCATTTCATGGATGAAATGATACAATATGTTATAGTATTTTGTGACTGCTTTCTTTCACTTAGCATGTTTTCAAGGTTTTCCCTTGATAGTTCAAGGTAACATTTATCTGTATTTGCTTACTTTTTATGGCTGAATAATAGTCATAATAATATTGACTATATCAATCAATGAACTTTAGAGCTGATTTAACACCAACAGAAAATTTCAATTAGAGGTTCAGCAAAGAAAACTTTATGCAATGCAAATACATCCATTGTGACACAGCAAGGCAGTGAGAACAGCAAACATATAAGGAGGGCTTGGGCTGAGGAGGCCCTGGCAGGAAGCCCCTCTCCAGCTAGCTAGCCTTTCTCTGCTCTGGCCTGCTACACCTGCTATGTCTAGTCCACTCGCCTGTGGGTCTGCTTCACTCTGGTCTGGAAGAAACGTGCTTACCTCGTCTGCAAACAAAGGACTCAGAGGTTTGGAGTACATTGAAAGCGAGGCATTTACTTAAAATCTTGCAAGAACGGGCTTCCAACTGTTAGCAGGCACACCCAGGTGGTGCAAAGCAGGTAGTTTTATCCCTAATGCAACTGGTCCCTCTGTGTTTCTCCACTGGCTGAAAACTCTGGGGTTACAATTTGACACAATTTTGTCTAATTCTAATTGGTCCCCCTGCTGCCGCTGCCTTTGCTTCCTTATTGGAAATCCCCTAACTTATTTTTCTTCAAATAGTTTAGCTACTCTTTGTGGGTTTGAACTTATGTATCTTCTGGAAAGTTTCTACTAGACCTCAGGGTTTGAGAGTCACCTTACATTGAGTTTCTCACAAGCCTGGCGAATGTCTTAGGGTGTTTCATCTTTTGTTTTTCAGCTCCAGCCAGGGACACCACTCTAGTCACTGGTGGAAACTGGAAGTGCACATACAGAGAAGTCCCCACCCCTGGTCTCTGATTGTTCTATCCTCATGCAAATGAGGAATCAAATCTACACAGCTTGAATGGTGCAGAAGGCACT